ATATATATATATATATATATATATATGTGAAAGGACAGTATATTGTAAGTTATTCTGAGGTTTGAAGTATTGGCAAGTATGAATAATTATAAGCCTCTTTCTTCAAGGTTAATGTGTTATCAGTCACGTTTGCAAAATCAGCACATTGATGATAGGTCACAGTTTCCATTTCTTGTTTAGTAATCATAAAGATACAGCTGTGAACATAGTCCCTGCCTGTCTGCAACAATGAATAAATAACGAATATAAAATAGTGTGTTTTATTCCCAAACCAAAGTAAGTAACTTGTGTGGTTGTACAATAATTTCTTTGTAGTATGTATGTGATAATTATGAAAGTGAAATGCATTGGTTCAAATATGAAGCTTCTTACTATCCTTAGTATTTTACTTTCCGGTGTGTGTTCACATATTGTTTGCTTATCACTAGAGAGCAGATCATAAAACAATCTACAGAATTAGTCTGCAGAGCCTATGGGGAAGTGTATGCCGCTGTGATGAATCCAGTGAACGAATACAAAGATCCGGAGAGCATTCTACACCGATCGCCACAGCAAGTGCAGACACTTCTCTCCTGATCCTCTTATTTGAATGTGTCAGCGAAATATCGCCTCCCCTAAAACTCGGAAGGTGTTCTTGTTCTTCAGTTGGTGCTCTTTGCTCTGAAATTTGACGGTTATGATTCTCTTTGTATCATTTCATTGTAGGTCTCGATAATTTCTTTGGTCACAATAACAGGAAGTAATTTCATGCTGACCTGGGTTGTGTTGCTCTGTATCTGCCCCTTACGTAGAGATGCTCTGTTCTCTGCAAGCCACCTCCCCGGTTCGGCAGTTTTCGGGAATATAAATGTATGGAAAAAAGAAGTATGAGAGGTTTGAGGGAGCTTTCTTTATGACATCAGTTCCAAATTAATCATACATAAGAAACTTGTTGAAACTGAAGAATTAGTTATGAAGATGTGACATAACGTCTCTTTACCTAAAGATTAATTTGGTTTCTTATTAGTCACTAATGTGAGTGGATATATTTAAACTGAGGAGCAGAAATATACACGTAGCAAAAAGTGGGAAAAGAGAGAGAAGTAATTTAAACAGGGTGGATTTCTCTCTGTGTGCGCCCTGGACTGAACTCACGGTGAAGTTCAGCACTTCGAAAGGACGTTAGGAATATAGGCATCCTATATGCCTATAAGTCTAGTGTTTAACGATAGATACTTCTTACATAATATTAGCTCTAAACCCAGCCAACTACAAATTTTATCTCTTGTTCAAACCAAAGAAATAATGACCTGCTCTAACGCAGGCGGGAAAATTCTGAGTAGCAATTGTTCATTGACGGTGTATCTGTCCCCCTGGTGACGGCTCACAGAGAATGATCGGGGCTCTGAATTTAGAACTTTACTTATGAGTAAGATTCAGAATCACCTTGTTTTTCAAAAAAATAAATCTCAGTACTTTGTTGATAAGATTTCAAAGACAATTCTTCTTAGCAAAATATCTTAATTTCTGGCAAATCTATAAAAAGAGGTCAGTCCCTAAATTACAAGCAAGAAAACTGAGGCATAAGGAAAAAATGGACAAAGTTAAAATATTTTGCAAAGTAGTAGGATAAAACTAATGTTTATATGATATGCAATGTATAATGTGTTAGTATTTACGGAATGTGGCCTGTTCACCTGTCTGAAATTTATAATTGTTTATATTAATATGATTATTTTGGAGGCAGAGCAGTTACTTACCTCTTTTGGTATGAATCTGAGCTTTCACAGTCTTTTTCCTTCAATGAGTATGTGTGATATAGAAAAGATAAAAAAATAAAGTATGATATAAATCAAGAGCTTAAATTTTATATAATTTATTTCCACTGTGAAGAAAAGATTGCTACCTTGCCATCAGTGAATTCCTTTGTTTTCTGGGAAAAAGGTGTATTTGTCTTTTTACATGGTTTTCTCAACATATTAAAACTATTTCTAGAACAGTGATAATTGCAGTATTTTTATATACCTCATCATTGTGTTTCCAGAAAACGTACAAATAGAAAGGGAGGTACAGGGTAGGGCGAAGTTGAGATAAGCAGTGGAAGATGGGTGAGCAGAAGGTACTATCAATATAACCTTGAGCACGAAGTTAAAACAAAAGACTGTACGTGCTAATCCATGAACATAACGCTTGTATTTGCCATAGACTTCATAGTTTGCAATTTAAACTGTTTTGATGTGGCTTAAGTATAACCTTAGTCAATACATGTCAGCCTTTTCTTCAGAGAAAAGTATTTGCCTGGCAAAAACCTTCTCTTATTGAAGGTTTCTCTTCGGTTTCTTTCTCTGCACCTGAACTTGAACAAGTGAACGTTACCTGAGAAAAATCACATAAATGGACTGATTGACTTTTTAAATTCATGTTCACAGTCTTCAAATGGCACTCAGTATTGCCTTGTAGTTCTACCTCCCGTCTCTTGGCTAAACTCATCTCTCTGCTTTTCAAGATGACTTTCCACCCCACTCTTAGGTAAAGACCTTCGTAGTTCATAGAGAAAATAGAAGCTGTTAGATTAAGCTCCCCTATTTTCCTACCTTCGAATCTGGCACTCGCCTTCTCCGTCTTTCCTCCTTCTGCCTTGGAGACACTGCCCCTCGTCCTGTCATAGGCTCTTCCCTTCCTTCGCACTCTGGATTCTTTCTTTTCACCTTTTCAGAGACTTTTGTCTCTGAGTTACCCCTTCATTTTGCTCCCGCAGCTCCGTGGCCTGTCCCGAGGATTATCCTCAGTAGCATATACAGTGCTCTAGTGTTGATAATATTTTTAAAGCAAACAAACAACTCTGCACCTTGCAGATCCCAACACCGTCATCTCTCAGCTTCTTTTTGTGGTTGTTGACACCTGCTGTCTTCTACTTCCCCTGCCATTGTGTCTTTAAAGTATCCCGGTGAGGCTTCAGCCTCTCACCGCACAGCACAACTAAACCTGATGAGATCCTCCTACTGTTACATATTGTCAAATCCAATGGATTCTTCACTATCCTTATTTGAAATACTGTTGTTGTTGTTGTTGTTGTTTTCCAGGCTTTTGTGGCACCACTTTCTACTAGTTTTCCTTCTATTTCTCAGGCCAAACCCTTTTTTGACTTCCTTCCCTGGTTCTTTTGCCTCTTTACAACTTTTAAAAGTTGACATACTTTAGGGCTTGATCCTGGAATGTCTTTTTTCCTCCCCTTAGGAGTTATTACCTCAGCATAGCCTAGCCTTTCCTGACTGCTGTTAGCTCAGGTGTCCTTAGATATATCCATATAATGGAATATTCTACAGTATTGAAAAATGAGTTATTTTCAAATAATATTTAAGAAAAAACTATAGAACAGTATGAGTTCATTTATAGAATTTTTTTTGTAAAAGGTAAAACAAAATTGTACATTATTGTACACCAGTTGTATATCGGTGCACACGTGATAAAGCTATGAGGAGAATATAGGAAATGATTAGCATGGAATTCAAGACGATCTCTGAGGAGGGAGGCACCAGATCTGTCAAAGTTATTAATGCTCTCTTACACTGGGTTGTTGGTACCTGAGTGTTCATTTAAATCTCTAAAATTTGCATATATGTTACCTTAATTTTTTTTTTTTTTAAGAGAAAGAGTGCATGCAAGCAGGGGCAGGGGCAGAGGGAGAGAATGAGAGACTCTTAAGCAGACTCCACACTCAGTGTGGAGCCTGGTGCAGGGCTCGATCCCATGACCCTGGGATCATGACCTGAGTCCAAATCAAGAGTCAGACGCTCAACCAACTGAGCCACCCAGGCGCCCCACATGAGCTCTTATCTGTATATTTTACAATTTAAAAATATTTCTAAAAATTTGCTGAGCTCATGACCTGGGGTAAGAGTTAGAATTCAATATATGTTAACTAGGTTTTTTTTTGTTGTTGTTATTAAACAAATTTATTAAGTAGCTACCAACACCAGGCTCTGTAATAAACAGGATTTTAAAAGCTTGCTGAAATCTGCATCCATCATTGCATCCCTGTCTTGCACAAAAATGGTCACATGTATTCTAAGTAAACATAATGCAATTTCATTGAGGGTTTTTAAATGTAGGTGAGAGGCAAAAAATGAAACTAACACCATCCTCTGTAACAGCCAGATGTATGTACTTGATATTTAAGAGGCTGATAGCACAGAAAAGAAGGTTTTAAAGCACAACTGTACATTTCTCATTCTGAGATGAACATACTGACTAGGTTACATTAATTAGCTAGTTAAGATGTAAAACTGTATTAAGGAATCCCAAAATTCTGACTCTCCGTAAAAGCAACAATAAAACTGGCCCCCAAGAACCACCGAAAACCACTTTTTTTAGAACTCTAGAAACTAGCTCACAGCAAGTCAGGTTATACTTAAAAAACAAAAACCAAAAAAAGCTGAGTCTTGATAACAGCATGCTTTGTGGAATTTTAAGCTAGCCCTGTGCCTTGTTCCCAAGCTTAGCAGTAGCCTTTTGCAAAGAATGTTTTTATTTTATCTGTCTCATGCCTACCCAGAAGATTCCTGTTCTAAAAGCTTATATTTATCTCATCTAACTTGGGACATTTCCAGTGCTAAAGTCACCACCCCAGGATAGGGGGAGAGTTAGGGGGCGTACATTTCTCTTCTGCCTGAAGCAATAGATAAGCATAGGGATGAACAATAGACTAAGCAAAAAGCTTAGGAAGGAAGGTTAGCAGTGAGATCTCCGTAAAGGCATGGAAAAACCCAGACATATCCTTGGAAATCTAGAAAGCTATGTATATGTTGTTTAGGACTGCATGCCCAGAAAAGACCAGAGAGACCCTAAGCTGTCACCTCTGGTTGCATCTTGAAGGCATGCCCCAACGCTCATCACAGCACACCCCAGTCAAGACTGGGAGGTTGTTTTGGTTCCAGACACTTAAGGAAATCTCTGTCCAGTTGTTAGCAGACTGCTAAACTAATGGACCACTTTAAGTGGTCACACACAACAGAGCAATTGTCAATGTTACAGGATTCATTTAGCAAAATCACACACAACAACAGCTACAAAAAGCACCGACCACAGCAAACTCTGAGGTGCAGGGTAGGAGAATCTGATTTCAGCAGAATGTGTGCATTGTAATGTTCCAAATGCCCACTTTTCAAGAAAAATTGCTTACAAGATACCTAAAGGACAGCCAAAACACGGGGAGGGTGGGGGGGAGCACTCAGTAGAAACTGTCTCTGAAGAAACCCAGATGTTGGACTTAGTAGACAAAGACTTTAAATCGGCAATTTTAGATGTGTTCAGGGACTGAAGGAAGGTATGAGGACAATGCCTCCTCAAACAGAGAATATCAATAAAGAGGTAGAAATTGGAAAATATGTTTTCATAAAGTTATAAACTTATCAAAATCATAATTTAAAGTCATAATTTTATAAAAAGTGTAAATATCTTGTCTGGGGTTGAAAATTATAATTGAAATTTAAAAATCCACTATAGCAGTTGGACAGCTGTGAACAGTCAGTAAAAAGAATCAGCAAAGTTGAAGTTAGATCAATAGAGATTATGCAATCTGAGAAACAGAAAGAAAA